ACCTATAATAATCATCAATGCCATCACGTATCTAAGATAACACCCACTGTATCACCTCAGCGATGATCTCTCAACCAACCTAAACAACACATAAGTCAACTGTGCTACTCGTGTCAACTATCTCTCAAAATGACACAACCAACACAGAGGCATTAATCATAGACACCCAAATGAATAATAGCACTAAATCTATCTCTGTAATCTAGACACTATTAGACAATCACCCTATATAAGAATTCGAGCAGTATATGTCTATAGCAACCTAAACCCCTAAGCACATAGCAAAAATCCAAGATAATAATCGATAAAGATTTGTAAAGCAAGTTTTATACAATGCCATGGACGAAAAATATACATGAGTTCAAAGTAAATACATATACAAAACCCAACAAATAATAATACACAAAGAAGAAGAGAAGTGAACCACAAATCTCCCAGTTTGTCAATGTCGATTAAAGAGCAATCCACCTGAATCATCCGTATGCAAGCTTCATAGTTGTTTTCTAAGCTAATCCTAGAGAAAAATGAGGGTTGATAAATTTGGTAGCTAAAACTATCCCCAAATCCATAACCCTAACAAATTAAATTAAGAGGAAATAAATACAAAATTATGTTCCGCACACACCTCCCGATTCCCAAAATGCACCGCCTGTCACTACTCCTTTATTACTTGGCCCAGCATGCGCCACGCATACAAAAGGGAAAAATATCTCTCACCGCCCTCTCTCTAAAACTACCGTTCGACTAAGCCTCATTTCTCACCCGACGACCAAGATGCGAGCACAAGACAGAAGCTACTGGATTTTCTCCTTTCTACATCGCTCCTTCCTCTCCTGGCACTAGTCCTGACGCTCACAACGCCTTGACAACGCCACATCACCACCTGACGCTGCTTCCAAAACAACACTTCTTTATTTCTTTTCCTGGCTTCTTTCTTTAGCCTTTTTCATTTTATTGTTCCAAAAATGCATCTTGAAGCTTTTATTTCTCTTGCTCCAATTAAATACTCAAATACCTATAAAATAGATACAAAACTATCAAACGATACACTTTGCACACAAACACTAATATACACAATCTAAACTTATTTACACAAAATTCGGTTTTATTCAACCAATATTAACAACAAAGAGTCGATAAGTGCAACAAAAAGTATATACAAAATAGCTATAATTTGCACTTATCAAACTCTCCCTAACTTGAACTTGTTTGTCCCCAAACAAGGCCAAACAAACTTAAAGAAACAAAAGTTATCAACCAAAGAATCATGAATCAACAAGTTTTAAAAAGGAAAACAAATGTATGGTTCAAACAAAAATGCACAAGCAAAGTAAATACTTACCACAATCCTACAACGATAACATGTAAACGAAACAAATCTTGAGTACAAAAATCATACAAAATATTCTAAAACTAAACAAGCTCAATCATGAATCACACCTAGTAAAAATTCATCGGTAGATGAAGAACACACAAAAGTGAGGGACATAGACACTCATCCACAATCTAGCAAACAAAAGACTAAATTATGCATTCATCCAAAATTCACATTGAACATATAAAGACAAGAACCACAAGGGATTTTCAAGGTTATAATGTGGCTTGGTTAACAAACAAGGGATAATTCCTAAGGCTAATTGAAACAAAAACTTGCCTAAACCTAAGGGAGTGATCAATTCACCAAAGACTCAAGCAACACAATTTCAATCAAACTTCTTCCAAATCCCAAAATGTCAAACCAAGACACCATACATATTTGCACAATATTATTTCATACTCTTTTTGTTTTTGTTTTTCAAAACTTTTTCTCTTTTTTTCTCTTTATTTTTCCTTTCTTTCTTTTTCATTTTTTTCTTTTTAAACAACCTCATAGTAATACACACAAAAGCAAGCAAACAATTCTCCCCCAACTTGAATTCAACCAACATTAAAGTGAATACTCCTTAATTTTTAGTGACGACTGCATCTTTTCTAGATAAGCTAACCAGGTTGAGGTCCTATTCCTAGACCTTGGCTATGTCCTCATACACGTGCATCACGGCGCAGGCGTATTTCTTTCTGGCCGAGCTGGTTTCGCCGCCGCCAGAGAACCCTCAGGCGATGGTGTTAAGGGTGTGGCGAGTTTTTTTGGTCTCGTGCACTTCTTCGACACCATTTCCCTTCTTTTGGGAAGGTTCCTCCGAGTCCGTGTCTTTTTGTCGAGCATATCTTTTTCCAACTTATGTTTCTTCATCTTCCACATAACTTAGCAGGTTCCCCCTCTGTATAATTTTCTTGATTTCTTTTTTTAGCTGTAGGCAATCGTCAGTATGATGTCCCTAGAGTTGGTGATAACTGCACCAAGCCACAACGTCATTCCACAGTATGACATCGACTTTCCATTTATGTGGCACTTCCGGGATTAGGTTTAGGTGTGCTACCTCTTGCAAGATTTAGTCTCTCCTTGTGTTTAAGTGTGTTCCCGCATTGCTTGAATCAAAGGGACGTCGGTTAGGTCTCTGAGTTGTGCGTTCCCGGGGCCTATCTCTCGAGGTCACCTGGGAAGATTCTTGTTTCCTTCTTGTCCCTTCTTCCTTGGTCTTGCCTCTCTCTGGGCATCCCTGGACTATTTTTCCAAGTTGCTCTCCTCACCTTTTATGTAGCATTCTGCTCTAGTAATGATTTCGTTCATGTCGGATGCGAGCTTCTAAGCTAAGGATTCATTGAACTGTCCTGTTCAGAGGTTGTGTTGGAATGCTCCAACGAATAAATCTTGATTTGGATGAGATACCTTGATGGTATCTTTGTTGAACCAAGCTGAGTATTCCTGAAGAGACTCTGCTTGACCTTGTCGGATGTTGAACAAAGACGTTGTGGACACCTTGAGGTGCTTGTTGATAGAGAAATGCTAGATTAACTTCTTCGTCAGATCCGGGTAGATTTCCACAGATAGTCGTGGCAGGCTCATGTACCACCGCAGGGCCACGTCCTTGAAGGTGAAGGCTATTAGTTTACACTTTAGTGAGTTAGTGGGACCAACTATCGCCATTTGGTTGTTGACGGTAATAACGTGCTCCCGGGGATCGGTTCAGCTGTCGTATGCTGTCAATGATAGTGATTTGAAGTTCTCTAGAACTTGGTCGTCCCAGATAATTTGAGATAGAGGTTGAGGTTCTAGAAGCTCCTCTTTTGGACCTTCGTCCCTTATGTTTCTTTATTGTAGGTTTGTGACGTTATTCTGCAGAGTTTCGTTCTGCTTCCTGAAGGCCTCCACCATGGCTAGTAGTTGTGCCATGTATGAGGGGTCTCCATGTGAAGATATTCTGTAGAAGATGAATTGAGGTGTGACCTAGGAATAATTTTACCAAGGCCCCATGGTGGGTACCAATGTTCTTGTGTAGAATAAATATTCGGTCGGCTTCCTAGGAGGTTGCTAGGGAGAGCTTACCAGAGTGAGTTTATGGGATGATTGGGGGATTTGGGAGCTATGCTAGTGAAACATGTGTCTCAAGATGAATGTCTTGCTTATCCGTCTTGTGGGATCCCCTTTATATATTATGTATCTTTGTGTCATCAAGCACCTCAATTAAGAAGTTACCCTTTAGTTCTATAACTCTATAACCTCCATCGTCTCCATGAATGGCGGAATCAAAGTTGTGTAGCATTGTAATGATTTCCCCGCCGGAGGTTACATGCATTATTGAGTCGAGATGATGATCGGTCACAGGCAGGTTCATCCCAACTACCTACCTTATCTGGGTCGATGATGATGATGGGTTGTTACCCGGGTCCATAGATCATCTGATATTCCTTTAACCGAACTGCACCTCGAATACCTTCACCCTGAGTCGACTATTATTTTTAACCCTTCTTCCTGCCGATTATATTACCCGGTCGGGCCTGGTATACATTATCGGTGTCAGTGTTACGGATGGGAGAGATGGAAGTTTTGTAATCGCCATTGTAAGACGCGTCTTCACCGGACATGGTCGGTTTTTGAGGTTTTTTGTTTTGATCTTTAGGTTTCAGGAAAATAAAAGATCACTACAAGAAACTTGCGTTTTAGCGTCGGCCAAAAACCATCGTTAACAAGTAAAAACCCAACGCTAAATGCATTTAGCGTTAGCTTGGCGTCGGGGTCGGGATGGACACGCTAAAGGTGGAAGCAAACCATAACGGCCAGCTTTCGCTACATGTAGCGTCGACTACGACAACGCTAACGGGACGCTATCTTATCAAAACCGATGCTACATTATAGAATTGTTTTCATTTAGCGTCGATTATTATCGACGCTAAAATTTATTTAGTGGCGGTTTAGAAAGCCACTATAATATATTTTCCTAAATAGTGTTGGTTTATTGGGTCACTTAAATATTATATTCAATGTATTAGCGTCGATTCTGTGGGCCACTATTTCTAAGGTCCAGCGTAGGTCATAAAGAATGCTACATAGCTAAAGTCGTGCAATGTAGCATAGCTCAAAGTCGATGTTAACGGTTTATTATGTTGTTTAGAAGCGTCATTTTTAGCCGACGCTATTATTTATTTATTCTGGAAGTTCTGTTTTATATTATATATACCTATTTAAATCCAAATTAATTTTACTTGAAATTTAAACCTGTTTTTGTAATTCAAACTATTCATTGATATATTATCACAAAAACCTCAACACAAGATAACAAACTTCCAAAAATCTACGATATTGCTACATTAATTAACATGTCACAGTTACATCAAAATACTAACACAATATATCAAAGTAGTTCTCATCCACAATGTTGTTATATAGAGATGTCAAAGTTACATCAAAATACCAACACAAAACATCAAACTAGTGAAAATCCATAAAAACAAGTTCTAAAACTAAGAAAAAGACAATGTCAACATCCAACACTCATTCCCTCTAGATCCAATGACTGACCGTTAGAGTCATCATCATAATGATCACTAGCACTAGGATAGACACTAGAAGGAACAGTGGAAGTACCCGCCTGACCCGACTTCCAAGCAAACAATTATTTCTAAATTTCTTCAAATTTCCTTTTCAATTCTGCTGTCTCAGCCATAGCTTCTCTTGCATTCACATTCGCTTCATCTGCATGCGCATTAGCTAATGCAGCCTCTTCACGTGCTCTAGAAGCCTCTGCTCTAGCCATCTCAATGGCTTGGCTCTCCTCTTCTTTATTCGAGTTTGAAATGGTCACTTGTGTCAAGTAAGACACTCCATAATGTATGTTGACTGCCATTCGGACAGTTCCATAACATCGGCCTCGTGACTTACCGCCGACAGCTTCTTTACATAATTTTAGCTTTTCCGACCCATCCACATTATTACCATTTTGGGTGGCTTGTGTTAGATGTTTCACATAATCATCCTGTACAACAGGACATAATAATTAGGACACTCCAATAAGTTTCCTGAAACAATAAGATATATGATAATTGTAGCAGTTTTGTAGCAGTTCATAAATATATACAAGTACTCATCTTTAATTATACAAGTACACTTAGATATATAATAATTGAAACAATAAGACAATAAGCTTCCTGTAGCAGTTCATAAAGTTATACAAGTACTCATCTTTGATTTTACTATTTTATAAGCTTCCTGTTACACTACAGGAAATAATCTAACAGCATTCATTCCAAACAACATTGGTCAAGGTAGTTTTCAGGATTTACTATTAGTATTCAAACCTCCTATTTCAAACCTCTTATTATATTCCCTGATACCTTACTTAATCTGTTGGTAATCACCTTTTAAATGATTTTGTAGATTGTAGAGAAACATGATATAGACCTATAGTCAGTTATGGTTTTTGCTATTATGGACTTAGGAATCAGGGTAATCAATGTATTGTTGACGGTCTTGTATATCTTTCCAACCTCAAAAAATTCTTTGACTGTTGCAACCACACCAGACTTCACAATGCTCTAAGTATACTTAAAAAACATGGCTCCATAAACATCTAAACCAGGGCTTTTCAGGTCCCCGGTGCCTTTTATGGACTTATAGATTTTTGTTTATGATACTGGTGCAATGAGATCAAGATTATCAGCATTACAAAATTGTTATCTTTCCCTCATTTCTACAATATCAATGCCTTTCATGTTACTCTCAGCTTTCCCAGCAAGTGGCCATAGTAATCCAACACTTCATTTTCAATATCTTTTCTATCAGTCAACATTGTCCCATCACTTTTAGTGAGGGTTTTAATGGAAGTTTGCTTCAATTTGGACTTTAAAGAGGCAAAAAAATGTGTTATTTTCAGCTCTTCTTATGCCTTATACAGATCAGTTCTTACTCTATCTAATTGATTTTTTATTCCAGCTAGAGGCATACTCGAGGACCTGATTGTAGGTTGGAGCATGTGTAATTTCTTTCATAAGAAATACATTTTCCCACCCTCAATGTGATTCTTCTAGTTACAATTACAATCTCATGAATACACTGGTGCGATATGGAAGCAATATGGAAGCATAAATGCAGTATGAAAAAACTAGACACAGATATGAAATTATGTTAAGGCATAAAAAAAGTTCTTACATGTGTATTCTCTACACGACGGGCAACCCACTGCCCATTCTTCTTTTTATGGGTGACCATGAAGAGCTCGTCCAAATTTGGTGGTCAGCTCAACTTTTTCTCCTATAAATAAAGACAACATATATATGGTTACGATGAATATCGGATATAAATATGTTGATGCATTGAAATTACAAATAGAATACACACCAATTCTATAGAAGGGAGAATGAACAGTTAGAATTATATGTAGATACAAAGTAATCTAGAGCGATATTGATGTCACAGCTCAAGAAATTGATTAAGGTTATTCCCAACTACAAAGATAAATTATGTTTCCTTCATTCTCATCGCCTCACTTGCGACACCTGATTAATCAAGGGTAAATAATGTTTTATGTTAGTACAACTTTGATTAATCAAGACTAACCTAATTGTTTTTACTTGATTGGTTTTGATTTATCTATCACTCAACACCATTTCATCCCATGGGGAAATTCCTTCTTCCATAGGTCAACTAAAGGAGCTAGTGCATCTTGATCTCAGTGTTAATTTTTTAAACTCTAAACTCCCTTCTGAGCTTGGCCTATGCACAAATCTAACTTTCTTTAGCTTAGCACGAAATAATCTAACAGGTTCTTTGCCTTTGTCATTAGCAAATTTGACCAAACTTTCAGATCTAGGATTATCAGATAATTCCTTTTCTGGTCAAATTTCTGCTTCATTGATCTCTAACTGGACTGAATTAATTTCCTTGCATCTTTAAGTTTGCACTTAACAGGGAACCAATTCAATGAGGGCAAACTCTTGTTTAATGGGGCATCTTTAAGTCTTCAGTGCACACACAACAGGGAACCAGTGAGGGACCTACAACAATGCGTGTTGGAGATGTAGCATGGTTAAGGGTTGGTGCTTAAAGTGGGACTATTGTTGTTTTGATTCATGTTGGGTGGATTGATGTTGTTATTGGTTTGGGATGGAGGTACTGTCATGACAGTAGGTGAAAGTGTATTGGTTTTGGTGTTCTTAAGTGGTATTTCTTATGCCCCTTTAATAAATTTGGTTTTTAAAGAAGAAAAACAGGAACTTGTACTAAATAGGGGTGGAAGGTAGGATAATAATTTAAAGGAGGTAGTACAAAATGACATCCTACTAATTAAACAAATTTGGGAAGACATGAAAGAGGGAGAGTTTCTATATGTTTAAAAATACTAAAAATGAGGTCAACTATATAACACCTGGTATAAGGGGGTCGTGAATCATATTCCCCGCAGAGGAGAAGGAGGAGGGGTGTTCAAAATCGAACCGACCTAATAGAAAATCGCAAACTAAATCAAACCAAATTGAAACTGTAATTATCCAAACTTCACTTAATCCACATTCTAAACCAAATCATGATGCTTGGTATGATACTACCCCTTATACACAATCTAAGCTTAACCAAATCATGAATTTCAAAATCCTCATGATGCTTATAGTTGTAAATTACGATATAAAAAAGAGATATAATGATTTTACCTTGAAATTGGCTTTAGAAGAAGAGAAACACAGTGGTGAAGCAACCGATTGTGGACCTGCGACAAATTATGCAAGCAATTTAATTCAAATTTGATACCATTTTACATAAACCGATTGTAAAACTCAATTTCACACAAACCATTTTGCAAGCGAGTTAATTCAAATTTGATACCAAAAGTTATATAAATGTGCATGGTTCTATGACTTTGATTGATAGTCTTCGTAGTACTTAATTAGGGATAATTAACTACTGAATTATAAGAAAAAATATATTAGGTTAGGAATTAGGGCTAATTAACTACTGAATCTAAATTCACAAATTCATAGCAGAACAGTAGAGCAATTCAGAAAAAGTTGATCATTGTAAAACACAATCAAAATCGGAGTAATCAGTATCTAACGGACGAATCGAAATGAAGAATTAAAATGAAGAATCGAAAACACGATTTTGAAAAGAAATATGATGAAAAGATTTCAACCTGAAACGATTTTGAGAAGCGATTGCAACCTGAAGCGATTTTGAGAAGCGATTCCTTGCAACCTGAAACGATGAAATGATGAAATGATTTTGAGACACGATTGCAATCTGGAGATGAAACGATGAAACGAAATATTTCAACCTGAAACGATTGCTAAACGCTGAAATGGTGATTTCCGTCTGAATCGAAAAGAGAAGCTGAAAAGCTGGAGATGAAACGATGAGAAGCTGAAAAGATTTTCTTTCTTTTGTTTATTCTTTACAATTCTAATTACATTTACTAATTACTTTATGTTTTTATTTTATTTTTACTAAATACATTTTAATAAATAGATTTTGATTATATTTTAATTACTAATTTATAATATTTTACTTATTTTATTTTAATTTTATTTTACTAAATAATTTTAATTCATTTTTTCGTTTTATTTTATTATTTTATTAATACATAGTTTTGATTTTATTTTATAAGTTAAACTTTAATTAAATTTTATTAATTTAATTAAAATTTAATTTTAATTTACTAATTTATAATATTGATTTTATTTTATAAATTTGAGTTTAATATACTTTTGATTTGATTTTATAAAATTTATACTTTGTTTTATAAATTTAATTTAGTTAGTTTTATTTTAATTTACTAATTTATAATATTGATTTTATTTTATAAATTTAATTTTAGTTAGCTTAATATATTGGTTTTTTTATTTTATAGTTAAAAATAATATACTAACAAATAGTTTGAAACAATAAAAAATGAACCAAATTGACGGGTAAATGAAATTATTTGGCACTAATATTAGCGTCGGTCCACAGTGTCGCTAATATTAAAAATTAATAATTATTTAATACAATAAATAAAAAGGAGGCAAACGAAATTGTTCGAGAGAAATGAAATTATTTGGCACTAATATTAGTGTCGGCCAACAGCGTCGCTAATATTAAAATAATAATTATTTAATACAATAAATAAAAAGGAGGCAAATAAAATTGGTGGAGAAAAATGAATTATTTAGCACCAATATTAGTGTCGGCCAACCCGTCGCTACTATTAAAAATTAATATTTATTTAACACAATACTTAATAAGGAGGTGTGATACGGTGGGAGAAATGACTTAAGTGTTTTGCATTTTATCGCAAACGTTGCGGTTAGAAAGAGTCGCCACCGACTTTTCTTTTATCCAAAAGGAAAGGCTGAAAAGAACATGAAAGACCTTTGAGATTATTTCTTGAGTTCGGGGGTAGATTATGAAAAGGAAAGGTGTTAGCATCCTTTTCATCCATAGTTATCTATGGGCTCTTAGTTGCTTGCTAGATCACTTTCTTTTGTTTGAAAAATTTGTTTTGTGTGGTTTTTGAAAGTATTTTGAAAAGGCGTCTTCGTTTAGGCAAACTTTGTAATAGTTCTCGTTCGTAAGAACGTATACAAAGTGTTGAACTTTTGAAAATGTTTCAAGTTTGGAAAATGTTTTGAAAGTGTTTTTGAAAGTTTTGGTGTTTGTTTTGAAAATAAGCAAGGATATTTGATTTGAAAATGAGAAAGCAACTAGGAACAATCTACCTACTCAAAAGTCTTTATTCATTTCTTCCTTTCCTTTGATATTGCTATCTTACCATTGATTTAGTAAGAAGCCTTATCTTTGGATGTAAAAGGGACGGTTGTGGGTTATCGTATAGCCATGATAGCAATGTTGTGAAATATCTTAGCATTTCTCTTTGAGGGACTAAGATCATTTGAAAGGCAACATTGATAGCGTCAACATGGGACTGTGATCTTGTATTTTTTATTGCTTTTTCCTAAGACATCTCACATGCATAACATGGCCATTTTTGTAAGGCAACAAAGTGGAATTACCCTAAGGGTGCAAGTGTGCAAATGTGTTGATTTACATACTTGTTTATCTTGAATTAGGGTTTGCTAACTTGTTGATTTTATTCTTTCCATACAAACCCTAATTACTAGCATTTATATAAAGCGATAAATTGCGGAAAGTAAAAATACTAAGCTATTACATCATTAGGAGAGGGGGTGTACAAATTTACAAATGGGGATTTTGCAAGAAAATTAAATTTAATTAACTATTACAACCATATTGAATATTGTAGAAGAATTGAATAAATAATGTACAAATGCAAATGGAAAAAAGAAATGATTTTGTTTGGTTTTCATGAAGGGTTTTGTCTTGACCTAATTAAAGAAAATGATTAATTAAAATTAAATAAAATTAACTTAAACTAATTAAGAAAAGAAATTAACTTAAAAAGGATTTTTAGGGTTTTTTATGAAAATATTTTAAACTAATAAAAATAATATGAGAAAATTAATTAATTAAGAGAAACCTAAATTCTAAGTTAATTTTAATTAAGAAAATAAAATAATAATTAAATCTAAATCTAAATACTAAATATTTAAGAAAAAAGAAATTAATTTATTAAAAGAAAATATTTTTTGGTCTATTGTTTTATAAAGAAAAATAAAAATGTATAAGTGTAAATAAAAATATTTTTATATTTTTTAGTAATAAAAAAAAAATAATAATAATAATAATAATAATAATAATAATAATAATAATAATAATAATAATAATAATAATAATAATAATAATAATAATAGTAATAAAAACAATAAAAGAAACTGAAATAAAATAAAAAATAAAATGATAAAAGAAAATAAATGGGTCAGGTGTGCAAAAGTAAATAGGGGTTAGCAAAAGAAAAAAATGGAAAGCCCAATTGTTGGAGGCCCAGCGCCTGTTTCAAACAAAAAAATGGAAAAAAATGTGGAAAAGAGCAAAAGGTTACCACTGGGGCTCGAACCCAGCCAAAGGTTAACAGTGCGCGCTTAACCATCGGGGTGGCTATATATCCGTTGATATTAATATAAAAATAAATATGTAACGTAAATCAAGTCCTGAATAAACCTCATCTTCAACCTCCAGCCAGAGAACTTGTAACTCATTCATTTCTCATTCATTCACAAAACTTCCAACATCAAACTTGTTAGAAATTTCCTCATGATTCCGAATATGTAAATAACTTAAGCTAATTCTCAAAGACGAGCATGAATTTCTAACAGTACCAAATT